ACATTCCACAGGCCACAATCAACAACCTAATCAACTCTATGCGAAGGAGATGGTGCATGAGGCAAATGGTGGTCACACCAGATACTGACTGGTTTTCGGACCCTCCCGGACCCCCCAATACAGGAGGGTCTGCACATTCTAAAACTGCACATTTTAGAGTGGCCTTTTATTGTGGCCAGCCTAAGGCACACCTGTGCAATAATCATGCTGTCTAATCAGCATCCTGATATGCCACACTTGTGAGATGGATGGATTATCTCGGCAAAGTGCTCACTAACACAGATTTAGACAGATTTGTGAACAATATTTGAGAGAAATAGGCCTTTTGTGTACATAGAAAAAGTCTTAGATCTTTGAGTTCAGCTCATGACAAATGGGGGAAAAAACAAAAGTGTTGCGTTTATAATTTTGTTCAGTGTATGAGGAGTGCCCTTTTTTCCACTTGAGCCCGTCCGTGGCACCCAAAATACTATCAAACACTCCAACGCAGCTCCATTCTTCGCGAAAGGTGGATAAAAAGGCGCACAGGAAACAAAAACCTCAAAAAATGATATCCGACCCGCCAAATGCTGGCCAAATCACAGAGATGCCGATTCGCACGGGACTAATAACGGGATTAAGATCACAGATAACCTCCGCATATACAGACATGGCCGATTCGCACGGGATTAGGATCACAGACAACCTCCGCAATTATTACAAATAACTGGAGGTCACCAGGTAATACTAATCCCGTGCAAATAGGGCTTTAGAGTAAGGGAAGCACAACTCGGGAAATAAGAGCATACGAGGAGCATGTGAATGCTATGTATATTTATTTTTAATATTTTTAATGTTCTTTAATGTTATCCATTGTTTTGTTTTTTTTAAAGTATCGGTTCAGGCACCGTTTAGGCACCGGTACCATTTTAAAAGTATCGATTTGGCACCGAATGCTATGTATATTTATTTTTAATATTTTTAATGTTCTTTAATGTTATCCTTTTTTTTTTTTTTTTTAAGTATCGGTTCAGGCACCGGTACCGTTTTAAAAGTATCGATTTGGCACCGGTATCGTAAAAAACCCAATCGAACTGCTATCCTAACGCATGTCAAATTACTATAACTTTATAACTTTAGTCCTTACTACATAGTCTAGTTTTACCTATCATAACAGCTCTGCCCTTTGGGTCCTGCAACTGCCCTGGCACAATACGTCTGCAGCCACTCTTGCCGAACGTCTCCTGGTGTATCTTTTCAAACATGTTCTTGGAAGGATGGTACTCCAAGATCACAATACGGCCAGAGTCACTTCCAACCACAACATAGTCTATTACAAGATGAGAGAAGAGATCCATATTAAGAATTCAAATCTCTTTATATGAACTACGCAAAACAACAATCAGAACCAAGTTGCTCACCTTTAGTTCCACCTGTCAACCTGAAGGCCATGAGGGATTGGATGACACCAAACACCTCAATAGTAAGCAGCGTGTGGACCTTACCAGTAGCCTTGTCCAAATACCCACACTTGCGGTCTTTGCACTTGACCACTTGACTACTTATGCTTAATTCTCACTAACTCTTCCAGATACCCTGACAAATATACGTAAAATACTCTGCTTTTAAAAAACTAGCCAGGACAAAGTGCTATTGTTCTGTGACATACCTGAGAAGTTGCCATGGATGGCATGGGAGATGCCAGTTGCCCGCTGCAGAGTCAGGTTGTAGAGAAACATGGCTGCTGTCACTGGACCTTCAGGCTCAGGACAAAGAGCTTAACCAGCACCTACAAGCAAGTCCAACAGAGACTGTATATGTATCAATGTTAAAGGTGAGGACAGCAAAACGACTTTTTATAAGGCACACATTAGAGTTCATTTTATCTAATTAGCACAGAAACATTACGCTTATAGCACTGCATAGGTACAAATACGTTCCATATTATGGTCTTATGTTTAACAATAAATATGCTGGATTTCAAACACAAAGTTTAGGATAAACATTTTGTATTTTCATTAGTAGCTCTAAGGCAAACCAAATTTATGCAGGACAAAATGAACACTGCATAGTGAAAACAAGTTTTTAGAGTTTCACTTTTGATCGTTCGTCGACTTACCACATGCATGGAGAAAAAAAACAATACGCTAAATAAGTGTTCTTGTCATTTTACTAAATGTGACACAAAATCTACTGTTAACGGGCGCTTGAATTTGCAAGCGTTAGTCAGTTGTCCATTCATCATTAGCCAGTCGGCTAACAAACTTTATAGTCAACATAAAGGTTATAACTATAATTTCTGAAAACAAATTTTAGTATGACAGACAAATATGGGTTATTCGCGAAATGTCTGAAAATTATTTACCGAAATAGCAACCTGGATGTTGTAGATTTCAATCAGATGAGAAACTTGCATATTTCATGAGCCTGGTCGCACGTCGCTACAAACGTCGCTGGAAAGACAGAGGGCCTCCCAGTCCCAGTTCTGTGGCGCACAGCGGTATTGTCCAATTACATGCCTGAGCGAAAAGATCGACCTCAAAAAGATTTTTGGTAGAAACGTGCTGTAAAAACGATATTTCTGTTTTTCATATTTCCTGAGTTTTATGGAATATTATTTTATTCAATTCTAACTGTTAAGTTTGACTGATGAAAAACGTGTAATTTTGAAATGTAACATGCATTTACCACGGTAAACTTTTTTTTTGCCAAAGTAACATAGTTACAGTTAATACAATAAAAATGGTAACGTTTATTGACAAGGTATTGATAAGGTCTTAAAAGGGAAATTATACAAAGTGGCCGAGCGATTCTGAAATCTTTTAGACTGTCTAAAGGAGGTCCCATAATGATCTACACAGTACCTATGATTTTTGGTGGAAACTGGAAGCCATGATCAATGTTCGTAAAGGCGAACTCGGTTTTATTATAGACCGTATAATTATTTTTAAATGCAGCATCGTCTTTTAAACGGTATCACTTTCTTCTGAAAAAAGGCACTCGAACTTATAACTCTCTCGCACACGTTTTTTGCGCCGCGTGTGTGTGTGTGTGTGTGTATGTGTGTGTGAGAGATTTGCACCGTGGTTGTGGAAATCCCAGAAAATGACCACATACCGTTAGTGGAAAAATGTTTCATTCTTTCCATTACAGTTTAAAACGATGACCAAATTTATATCACTACCACTATTTATGGTTACAAATGGCAAGAAATTTAAACATCTCAGCTAGAGTGTCAGTATGTTTAAACAGATGTTACAGTGTCAGTTTTTTAAAATCTATTATTTAGGCGAATAATGTTTTTTTTTTAGTTGCATGTTTATTTTGTTTTGATGAGTAATTTTTAGTAATTAATAGTATTTTTATTTGTTTGTTAATTTTTGTTTATATTTTTATTTTCATTACTATCACTGGCACGCGCCGTCATCTTATTTTTATTTAATTTTTATTTCGATATTTATTTTTTATACTGTTTTGTATTTATGCTTTGGCAATACTGTATGTAAAACAATCGTGCCAATAAAGTACCTGTGCTATATATTGATCACTTCCTATTCGTTCCTCGCGAAGTTATTCCCACAACAGCCGTATAAGCAACAAACACCCGAAAAAAACTCCGTCTAACAGAGGCAACGATAACAGATCTAATCACATGCTATCTAATTTAATCTGTCATTTATGACCAAATAAAATTATTTAAAAAGTGTGTTTGATGCTCGAAAGTTTACACTTATACTTTTAGTATACTTTAACTGTAGTGCAAGTAGCATGTAGAACCATTTCCACAAGGCGGCAGTATTTCATCAACTGAGACTTGTCTGGAATGCACATTGAAAATTCATTCAACATTTAAACCATACATGATGGAGAATAACAGCTTGACAGCTACACATACATTTGATACCGCATCTCAGTATTATAAAATTATTATTATTAAAGTCATTTGTGTCTGTTGTTTTTTTTTTTTTCAAAACTGTGAATACATTTAACAACAGATATGAATAGACGAGAATCATATATTGAATACAATTATAAATAGAGAAAAAATATATATCACTTATGTGTTGTGGACAGTTTGGATGTACAGTTACTCTCCGAGCATCCTCGGTCACAGCTGTCTGCTGTGAATACCATCTGTTCCAAGTGCATCATGGGAAATGTAGTACAAAAGGGCGCTGGACTCGCACGCAACAGCTGACACCACTTGACACCACTTTTCATAAATGTGCGTATATAAATGCATAAGAAAAAATGTATTGGGTTAGTCACTTGAGTAATTAAACAAGCAAAATCACGGTTCCCAGTTTAGTGATAAATCATTTAAAGAACTACATATCCCAGTAGACTGTAAACGCGATTGGAGAATATGGGGTGAGGGTGTCTTCTTTGGAGGGGGGGGTTGCGGGGGGGGGGCAACACACACACGGACTACAAGCAGTATTGTGAGAATTACATTGTTGCACATTATCCAAGGGCTTAGAGACGATAAAATAACGGACAGCAGGACAAAATCCTAGTCCTACTACGAGGACGCTGGAAACGACTACCGACAGAGAACTGATGTGAATAATCATATGGAAACTGAATGCTGTTCATTTAGTGCAACATCCACAACAGTCTGCAGAAATGTACATTCCAGAGAGGAGGTGAAGTGAGTGTCTTTACATTCCAAAACTGCCCCAGCTTTAAGGATACATTATGATGAAGTGTTATGTATCCTAATAGGCATTGAAAGGTAAGGAAAGCATGAGCATCATAATATTGTGTCCATTGTGTGAGATAACCTGTTGTGGTCAATGCTTATGTGGTTTTCAGTCCATTAATGTCTCACCCCTCCTTTTTTATTTTTAAAGCAGATAGCCTCAGATTGTGTAGCTAGAGTGGTCCCTGACCCGCATCATGCATAAAGGCACTCAAGAGGGACCCGTGGCTTGCCACTTTGTGTCCGAACCCATCTCATTTATGCGAGGGTCTCATTCCACTCTGAACCCACCCTTACCGATCTGCCAGCGTTGCTTAGATACAGGAAAGAAAGAAGGGTAGTAAAGGATTGTCTTGTGGTTGATGTGATTGGGTGACCTAATCAAGTCTCTGTCTCATCCTTATGCAGTTTGTTCAAAGTAGACACAACTCCAAAGATGTGGATGTAAACTCAAAAAAGTGAAATCAAATAAGCAGTATGTTGACTAGAAAGACAACAAAAATGTATTAAAGATCTATTAACCCATTCTGTGTTCCTTTTCTCAGGGAAGCTTATGGGAAAAGTGCAGGATTTCCTTCCCATTTTACAGCCTAAGTAGAATCACTATATCTTAACATATTTAACATGACTGTATTGGAATTTTAACATCACTTGTGCATTAATAAACCATGTGCTTTAAAGATTTTCATAGATTTTAGCAGACAAGCATTTTCCATGCCCTTATCATCAAATAACTATATGGTTAGATACAGATAAAACTGATGGTTATTAGTGGTTGTTAAGCTAGATATAAGCTAGAAATATGTTTTTAATTTTTCATATGTAACAATTCTGGCCATATTGAATAAGCTGCACCTATTTACTAATATTGACTATTACATATTTATAATACCATATAATCTAAATTACCAAGGTATGCTCAACTATAGGTCCTAGCTGTTTAAAGTTTAATTACTAGTATTTGAATTCTGTTCTGTTATATATGAAACAAAAATAATTTTGGTAGATTATTATGGCATTTTAGACTTTAAGTGGTTCTTTTTCTGTAACGTTGAGACCATTTTGTGGTGCTTCAACTGCTATATCACATAATATCTCACTGTAAACAGCCTCTGCTGCAGCACTTTTAAGTCATTTCTGATTCTGTCATGACATTCAGTTTGCCCTTTGCTAGTTGGTCTTTTTTCAGAGACAGAATTTGAGAGTGCAGTTGCTGTTTGGAGTAATTGCATGACTCTGGTGATAGGGCTCTTAGTTTATTTTTTTTAAGAAATGTCACAGAAAAAATGTTGGTGTAGGATTTACTTTAAAGTTCAGAATGAGGAATTAGACACCCAGTGTAAATTTCCCAAGGCAAATAATGGAGGACCATCTATTTCTTATTATATCTGCTGCAACATTATGCACAGTGACTCAGAGCTGAAACCATGAATAAATCATTGCATTGAACATTTTAATCACCTGATGTGTTTCTTAAACATGTATGTCTTTGAGTTGAAATTACAGTTTGAACTATTAAAATATCACTAAGGTGTAAAAGAGAGGATAAAGAACTTTGCATATTGAGATAGACTGTAAACTTGTCTTGTTTGAGCAACTGTTCGATATGACAGATGTTCATCATCTTCTGTAACTAGGCTAACGTAGTACCTGGGGAATTTCGGGAGCCAGCAAAAGTCCTGCTGACTTAACTAGGTTAACACTGCGTACAGAGCGATCACACTGTCAAAGAGTCACACATGAGAGCTTTTAAATAGGTTACTCTATGGGAAACCTTTTTCTATCAGGGATTCAGATTGGTTAATTCACAGAGCTGTGACAGCAGGGTTACCTGAAATCCACTTCTATCAACCTAAATAGCTCAAGTCAGCGTTTACAGTTACAACACTTGCAACATTTTACCTTTATGTTTGTGTCTTAATTTCGAGATCACATGGATTGTACAGAAAATAACAAATAGGGCACCTGCTGCTGAACACACTAGAGTTGTCTGTAGATCTGTATTCCTGTGTGTGTGTGTGTGTGTGTACTGGTATATATGGTTTATGAGGACACAAATGTGTATAATGACATGGGTACTACAACGTAAACATGGTTTATGAGGACACTTCCTGTGTCCCCGTAAAACAAAAGGCTTAAAAGACATACAAAACGGTGTTTTATGAAATTCAAAAATTGGCAGCAGTTTCCTGTGAGGGGTAGGTTTAGGTGTAGGGCAATAGAAAATACAGTTTGTACAGTATAAAAACCATTACGCCTATGGAGAGTCCCCGTAAACCACAAATACAAGTATGTGTGTGTGTGGTGCACGCATGAGTTCTCCGGGTTTCTC